CACAGAGCCCAACTCGGGGCTCGAACCCACGAACTGTGAGATCACGACCTGAGCCCAGGTCGGATGCTTAACCTACTGAGCCACTCAGGTGCGCCTCTGTGTATAATCTTTTAATGGCTTTTGTTATTGTGTCTAGAGCACACAGCATAGCTCAGCTGACTGTTCCTCTCACGGGCATTCTTGTTTTCCCTTCTCTGATGTGTTCATGTTTAGGATGTTGCATTGAATATTTTTGTGCATCGCATTTTCCTGATATTTTGAGTCATTTCCTAAGATAGGTTCCTAGGAACAGGCCAGCTGGAGGCCTTCAATCCCAAGTCCTTGAGGGGGGTGACTGCCTTGCCTCGTTCATCATCCCAGTGCTTAGTGTGGGACCTGGTGCCAGAATAGGTGTTTGATAAATGAATGAATGACCTAGTGCGATCGACAGAAACTGGGTCCTAGTGGTCTCGTGGGACATCCGGTGCCTTAGGGCCTAAAAAATGCTTGCTGATTTCGGTAGGGAAGAACGGTCCGTTTCTTTCAGTTATTGGTGAAGTTGAATATTTTCCCAGAACTTGGTTGATGGTGTTTTTTGTGTCCCTTGCATATCGTGCCATTGGAATCCTTCATGGGACTGGGGAGGGTTGGTATTTGCGGCATTTTTTTTTTAATTTTTTTTTTTTCAACGTTTATTTATTTTTGGGACAGAGAGAGACAGAGCATGAACAGGGGAGGGGCAGAGAGAGAGGGAGACACAGAATCGGAAACAGGCTCCAGGCTCTGAGCCATCAGCCCAGAGCCCGACGCGGGGCTTGAACTCACGGACCGCGAGATCGTGACCTGGCTGAAGTCGGACGCTTAACCGACTGCGCCACCCAGGCGCCCCTATTTGCGGCATTTTTATCAGAACTCTGGCCTTGGTCTGCCCATCGTTGAGCCAAGGACCCTTCAACAGTTGGGTACTAGGCCGTACCCTCTGCCTGGACGGTGTAAAGTGTGTTGTGGTGTGGGGTTGTTGGACTGGGGTAACGGCCCGGGGATCTCTTCTCCCACTGGCCTTGCTCTCGTGACTTCTCAGTGGTCGGCCTGGATTTTTTTCCCTGCGTCTCTGTCCCCAGTGTCCAGCCAGCTTCCCGTACATCCCAGCTGTGAGCTTAGGCTTTGGTCACATTGTGGGCCCCTGTCTGTGGCACCCACGTGGCCCCCTTCCCTGCACCTGTCAGACTTTACCCCATAGGCCACCTGGGTGTCTTGGGTGTCTGACTCCTGGGTCCCCATCACTTCCTTTGTCTGGCCCACCCGTGCTGACTTGGCTTTATCCTCCATCCGTGGCCACTCTCCTGTCCCAGATGCCTCTAGACGGCTCAGCCCTGCTCTCCTGGATGCGCTGGATGAAGCCCGCAAGGCACGGGCCGCCCCGGGACTCCTGCCGGTCCTCGCCCCACCCGTTGGCATGCAGGCTAGCGGCCGAGGGTCTTTATCCGGCTTAGGTGACTCAGAGTGAGCGAAGCTTCCTGGATGTTCGTTGAATGAGCCCGTGGTTCTTTGTGGAGCCTCCCTCGTCCCCTCCTCCCTGAGCCAGGAAGGCCCGTCCTCTGACCCGGGGAGCTGGCCCCAGGCCCTGCCTTATACTGGGATTGGAGGGGGATTGGGCAGCAACCCTCGGCCAGGGGGTGGCTGGTTCGGTGCTGGACGGGTCCTCTTGCTGGGACAGAGGTTTGCCCCCAGGGATTCCCCCCCCCCCGGCGAGGTCAGAGCTCTTTGGGTCCTTGCCCGAGAGGATGCTCACGTGACATGGCACCCCTCTCAGCGGCTCCCAGTTCCCTGAGCTCTTGTCGGAGCGCAGAGTACCTGCTCATGCCCGAGGGCCCTGTGTCCATGGGGTCCTAGGAGAGCGAGAGAGAGAGAACGTGTGAGAGAAAACATACGTGTGTGAGGGAATGCACGTGCATGTGTGTGAGAGCACGTGTGTGTGTGACGGTGTGACAGAACGTGGGGAGGAGGGAGGGCCTGGCGGGTTTGGGGTGAGATGTTCGGGGATTGGTCTGGAGCAGGCTTGGTCTGGTGCCGCCGCCCGTCGAAAAGTAGGCAGCGGGTTCTTCTCCTTAAAACCGTTCCCATAGGACGTGGTGGTTTTCCCCCAGTGCTGGGCGCCCTTGTGGGAGGGCAGGAGTGGGGGGCGCCCCCGGCCGAGTGGGTGGCCGTCAGCCCGGGTCTCCCGGTCTCGTCCTATCTTCCTTGTCGTCTCAGAGTTTCAGAGTGAGCCTTCTGCCTGTCGGTGGGTTCGTGTCCCGTCTGTCCGTCAGCTCCGTGACCTTGAACAAGAGGCCTGAGCCTTCTGGGCCCCAGTGTCCACGTGTACCACGTGGCTGCCGGACGCATAGTAGGTGCTTCACGAACAGGCCTGCCTTTTCTTGGCTTGCATTTAGCGTGTTGGGGTCTGGGAGCTTCTGACAGTGCCTGTGAGTCCTAGATCCTCCCGGAGTAACGTCCCCGTGGGCCCTCAGGGGCCCTGAGATGGACCAAGGAGGGGCGTGACCTACGCCTGTGAGTCCCAGCGATCCGTGGCCTCTGCCCCGAAGCGCGGCACAGCCGTGGGAGAACTCGGTCGTTAGGTAGAACCAGCCCAGGCTCTGGTACCCTCCCAGCTTCATCCCTGGGGAGAGCGGGCGAGGAGGCAAAGTGGCTTGGCCAGGGTCCCAGGGCTCGGGCTCGAAGAGGCAGACTGAGCTTGAAGCCTCGGCCCAGGCCTGTGTCTCTTCCCTCTTCGTCTCGCCTGTTGGCATCAGCTCTGTGATGGAGTCACGTTAGGGGTAGATCTGGGGGGAGGGGTCGTGAGGACGCGCCCGCATCGCTCCAGGCAGAGCTGGGGTCACCTGAGTGTAAGCCCCGGCCATGGCCCCAGACCCCGGAGCCGGTGGCAGCCACATCTGCCGACACGTTCACGGAGGCCAGGGCACCAGGCCTCGGTCACAGCCTCAGCCCCGCTCGGAGAGGCTGTCGCCGCATGGCTGTGGGCCCCGGGAGCAAGGCTGCTGTTTCCCTGGCACCCATCCCGTGCCCCCTCTCCGTGGGAAGCGCAGGAGGCACACTGATCTGGAAGACCCGCTCAGACTCCGATCCCAGCCAGGAGGCCTCCTTGTCAGTCGGTGCTGTGACCTGGGCAGGTGGCTCTGTCTTCTTGTGCCTCAGTTTCCTAACCTAGAGCGGGAAGACGGCTGGGGCTTACCTCCTGGGTTGATGACTCCTGAATGAGTGAATGCCCGGAGAAGATCCGGGGGCCTCCTGCACGTAGAAGTGGCCTTGAGATGTGGGTTGTTTCCACAGCTCATGTCTGGAGGGCCGGGATGGGGTCTTGTGCCTCTGGGACATTGGAGGGGGCCCCGCGCCTGCCCCGCACGTCTGCCTCGTGCAGGAACTGGCCTCCCACCACCCTGGAACTCAGCACGGAGAGGTGATGGGCCCTCTGGTTTCCCTTCTCACTTTGAACAAAACCTGAACCACATTCCCTTCCACAGCCTACAAGGCCCTACAGTCTATACTCACCCCTTCTGTGGTCTCCCCTCCTGCGCCCTTCTTTTTATTCCGTCTAGCCCCCATGGCCTCCCTGATGTTCTTTGGCAGACTTCTGTCTGAGGGCCTTTGCCTTTGCCTTTGCCTTCGCTTATCTCCCTCTTCCTGGATATCTTCTTGTGACTCTGTCGGTTCATTTATCCGTTAATTCGTTCTCCGTGTGTTTATCGAGTAGCTTCCCTTTGGCCAGGTATCGGGTAGGGAAGGAGGCACACAGGCAGGAGTGGGACTCCTTAAACCAGAGCGGTACAGAATCTGATGGAGAAGACAGATGGCGAACAGCCAGCGAGCAGAACAGCAATCCGTTGTGATCAGTGCGGGGAGGGAGAGAAGCGAGAGCTTGATGGAGAGGTGGTCAGGGAGGGCTTCGTGGGGGAGGTGGCATTTCAGCTAAACTCTGACAGGAAAGGCTGAATAGTCTAGGGGAAGGACACTCTGGGTGTCGGGGACAGCGTGTGTGGCCCTGAGTGTGGTGAATACAGAGAGCTGTGGTGACCGGGGCATGGTTCTGTGGGGCTGGGGTTCTGCAGGAGGGACAGGCGTGTACAGGGGATGGGAAGCCACTGGCATCCTGAATGGTGACGGGGCAACAGACATCGGACAAGGGGGCTCGGGGCTAGGTGACCCTCTAGGCACTTGTCCCTTTTGGGGACTCCAGGAGTCACTGCTAAGTCCTGTCCCCGAATGCAGGGTGGGCCGCTGGGCAGGAGGGCCCTTGGGGTTTCTATGGGCTTGGGAGGCCATCTCCACCTGGAGAAGGGAGCTGGGGCGCATGCTCTAATTTCCCAGCCCGGCCCTGGGACTCTGGGGGATCGTCCACACCTCGGCCTTGTCTGAAGCCTGGGCTGCCCTTCCGGACCTGACCACCCCGGGGGATTCCCTAAAGGGACCCTCTACTCCGTCATGTAGCAGGTGGGTGGTCTCAGGATCCCTGCGGTTATAGGAACCGCACTGACACTCCCCCCAGGCTGGCTGTGGCACTGCTCTCCCACGGAGGGCCCCTCCCCTGCTTGCCCCGGGGCCGGGCCGGGTGAGACCACAGCAACTCTGAGCCGGTGTAAGTGAAGTTGGCTCAGCGACTTTGCCGACTGCAGCCCGCGTGGATAGTCGACGTAGCAGGGAGGCACCTCGGTGTCCCACAGGGGCCAGGTTGTGAAGACACGTGCTCCCTCGCCCGCCCTCACTCCTGCCTGGCCTCTGGATGCCCCCGTTGTTGGCCTGTCTCAGCTTAGATGCTCACTGCACTTCCCTGTCATCCTGGCCCGCCTCCGGGACTTCCAGGCTGTCCTCCCAGGTGGTCTCCCGGCCCAGTGTCCCCTCCTGCCTCTGGGGTGCGCCCCTCCCCAGCACTGCTGTCTGTCTCCTCGTGTGCTTGGTCCACGGGCGTGTGCCTCTCTCCGGGCTCCTGTCCTTTGTCCTGGGGCTGTCAGGCTCCCGCCTTCCTGAAGGCTTGGCGGGGGGAACACCGCGCACCCTGCCGAGCCTCTCCTGGGGGCTCTGTTCTTTGCTCGCTCCCAGTTTTGGGTGGGCAGAGGGGAGACACGAAGGGGAGATGGCTGATGGCAGCATTTCCCTGAGTGCGGGGGCCGCTGCCGGACCCCTGGTCCGGCGCGGAGCACCTGTGCTGGCGCCTCGGCGAGGCGAGGCCTCCTCCCTGCGTGCCCCTCCCAGGTCCGCCGGGCCTCTCGAGATGCAGCGGAGTGGGCGCCAGCCCCAGTGCATTTCTCTCTTGAGCAGCGTCTCAGCTGCTTTCTGTGAGGCCACTGCGGCCAGCGACCGTGCCCTAGCCTGCCCGGGGCTGCCACATGTACACCGGGTTCTGGCTTGTGCGGAAAACACCCCGAGAGAGGGCCCGGGGCGGGAGCTGGAGCTGGTGGAAGGTGGCAGGGGGAGGAGGGACGGACCAGACGGCTGTGTGCCAGGCCGGACTTGGGGACCCGCCTTCTCTGCTCTGAGGGCTCTCGGGGGGTCGGGCAGCTCATGGAAGGTATAGCCGAAGGGGCAGCTCCCACGTTTTTCCGTCCTCCCCCCTTCCCCCTGACGTGGATCGTGTTCTCGAGTTTTACTTTACTGTCCTGATTTGAGAAGGCTTAGCCACGTGTCTGCAACAGCCAGAACCACGACGGGACCGCAGTGGGGCTTGAGCGTGGCAGGTGCTTCCCTGGGACCTGGGTCTGGCTGTGCTGCTTTCTTGGGTTGTGGTTTCCCCTCCGTCTTGACCCGCCCCGCCCCGCCCCCAGAACCCGCCTTCGAGGCACAGCAGTGGTGAAGCGGCACCCGCACTTGCCCGGGCGAGGTCAGCACTCAGGGGGGTGGAGTGCAGGTGCGCCAGGGGAGGTGCCTTGAGGAGCTCCTGCCTGCCTGCTTCCCTCAGGACACGGTCGAGCTGATGACGACTGTGGGGACGAAAGGGCCAGGCACCGGGAGGAGCGGCTGCTGGGGGCGCGGCTGGACCGAGACCAGGAGAAGCTGCTTAGGTGAGGGCTTGGGGGGGGGGGGGGCGCGAGGGGCCAGGGAGGGCGACCTTAAGTGGGTGGGGCCCCCTGTCCTGAGAGCCCGAGCTGCCCTGGCCCCTGATCCTAGGCCAGATGGCCCCACAGCCGCTCTCTACAGTCAGTGTGGGTCCCCCTCCTGGGGGAAAGCCCCGGGGGCCCTTCTGTTCTGAGGCTGAGCCCACCCCTCTTTACGCTGGGTGTCCCCTGGGTAGTTGGGGCACCACCCCATCTCTCCCACGTCCCCCTGGCCAGCTGGGCGGTTGCCAATGCCTCTGTTCTCCTTCCAGAGAAAGTAAGGAGCTGGCCGACCTGGCTCGCTTGCACCCCACCAGCTGTGCTGCTAATGGCCTGAACCCCAACCTCATGGTGACTGGGGGCCCGTCGCTGGCAGGCTCGGGGCGCTGGTCCGCCGACCCCGCAGCCCACCTGGCCACTCCCCCCTGGTTGCCCCGCTCGGGCAGCGCGTCCATGTGGCTCGCCGGACACCCCTACGGTAGGTGTGGGGCGGGCGACTTCCCCCTTGTCTGGCGGTTGAGGACGGAGCGGGCCTGACGTGGTTCTTACTGGGACAGGGGGCTGGGGCAGGACTGTGGGTGGAGGGGAGTCTCGTGTGGGACCCACGCCCCGAGCTGGCTCCTGTCTTCCTGTTGCTGGGGCCCGGGCCTTTCCCCTCTGCAGACGCTTTGGCTCCCTCACGTGTCTGAAGAGGACGGTTGCTAGGACGCTGGCCTCGTGGGGGTCCCTCTGTTGAGCCCATTTGGAGGTGGTACCCAGGGGTGGTTGGCTTGCGGCCTGTCACCCCTCAGCTTCCTGCACGGAGACCCCAGGAAGGGGGCGTCTCGGGAATGGACAGAATTGGGGTCGTCCTGGGCCCCCAGCCCCTAGCATTGACTCGGGCCTGGATCTCTCCTAGGTTTGGGCCCCCCACCTCTGCACCAGGGCATGGCACCTGCCTTCCCGCCTGGCCTGGGGGGCTCCCTGCCGTCGGCCTACCAGTTCGTCAGGGACCCCCAGTCAGGCCAGCTCGTGGTCATTCCCAGCGATCACCTGCCTCACTTTGGTAAGTGGTGGCCTTGTGGTGGGGGGCAGTGGCTGTGGTAGCTTTGCCTGGAGAGCCTGACCCAGATGCCAAGGGCCTTCTTGGGGGACAGGCGTCTGCCCAGAACAACGGGGTGGGAGTTAGACCAGGGCTCCTAGGGGATGTTCTGATGTCTGGGGCTTCCCCGGGTAATAACGCTATGGTGGTCCCTGTTTTGATGGGCTCCTACTCAGAACCAAAGCAGGCTGCCCCCACCTGGGGCCTGGCCCCCCTGCCCTGGCGCCTCCCATTCCATGGGAGTCCACTTGGTAGACCATCGGGTGCGGTGGGAGGAAGAGCTTGGGGTCCCCGCGTGTGGGCGCGGTCCCCCCTGGGCTGGGGACAGGGCCCGTGTCCCCTGGGCTGGGGACA